AGAGAGAGAGAGAGGGATATAACGTTATAAACGAATGGTCGGGTTCAACTAAACGTCAAAGAGTAGCGCGGAGAGGAGAGGAGCGGAATAGTAGTACTAATCTGAAGAAGAGTTTATCAAGAATTCCTTTGTCTTTTTCGAAGATCCGGACGATGGATGCTTTTCTGCGCTCTGGCGATGAGAGAGGCATGGGGATGAAGCAAGGCGAGTGTTTGGTCAGACATAGTGTTTATTGTTTACCTCGGCTTACTTAGTCAAAATGTTGGTGTTTATACTTTAAAGGAGGAAGCGGGCTACAACCTTCAATACAGAATAAAGGCCTTTGGTCATATTGGGCTATATTACAATGATAATCTCCCAGAGCTAGGAGTCCTCAGCGGCGATCGATTGCTTGGAAGTCCTTTTCAGAATGGCAGTAATTAGGAGCGTTAGGCTTCTTTGAGCTTAGCACATTTTTCTGACAGCTGGCTTCTTCTCTAGCAAAGCTACGTAGTACCTACCAGTACTCTCAGCTACTTCAGATCAAGAAGCTTGCTAGCTAGTTGTCATCACACCAATCAAAGCTCAAGGGCGCCTGTCAGCCAAACTCACAAGTCTCACAAGCTCACCTTTTCCTCTTTTCCAAGCAATCGAGTTTGAAGATAAACTGTGGACTTTATTTAATACTACGTACGTAGTAGTTGTGTACCGGGCGCAGCTCCACGCCACATCTAACTCTTGGTTGTAAAGCTTAACGTGGTGGTTGGGATGGCGAAGAAGAGATCCATGACTATCGAGTCATGGATCAAGCGAGCGTCCTGAGAAACTAAGGAACGTGGAGGGAGGGGGGATGTTGCCTAGGGAATCCTGTCGTAGCTGGAGTCGAGATGTAAGTAAGGTCCGCGAGGAGGGGGGTGGGGGTGGGGGTGGGATTATGTGTGTTTGTATATATGGGGGGGAATTTGAGGACTGGCGGTTATTGTATGAATGAATGTACTTTGGAACACTTGTGAAGCAGATACTTGTATGAAAGAAATTCTGAGCATAGGGGTGGGGGTCTGGGCTTGGACTTACTACGTCCCAGGCGTAAGTATTACCCCCTAAGGGTAGGGTAACCAGGGGATTTAAAGGGGAAACCAAACTTTTGAGGCATCCTCAAGGGGTAACAATTACGCCTGTACCGTGGGGTTTTAGGGGGTGGTATGATGCCGGGGCGATGGTGCTCAACTTGGATGACTGCCTGCGCTTGGAGAAACAGAATTTGATATTACCTGATGTCATCAAGGAAGTATCACGACGGATGAAGATCGCGTTCGTTGCATTTGTGAAGTGGATTATGGGAAGGGTTCTTGTGCGAAGGGATATCAAATTGATATGGTACTGCTACTGCTACTCCTGCGATACGCGCCGTTATGTACCAGTACAGCTGGCTATCGGGGAGATCCTGCGCGGATCGCAGCGACGTCTCCTCCTTTACATGGCACCGTTCACGAGTCGCATTCGGTCTTCTTTTCGCCCTTCTCTTCGCTCTTCTCTTCGTATTTCTTTTCGCTCTTCTGTTTGTATTTCTCTCCGGTCTTCTCTCCGGTCTCTCCTCCGGTCTTCCCTCCGGTCTTCTCTCCGGTCTTCTCTTCGGTCTTCTCTTTAGTAGGCGGAGTAGTAGGTTGGTAGCTCTTCTCTTCGGTAGGAGCAGGGACAGCGTTGTAGCTCTGTGTGCTAGAACCATCTGGGCTCAAAGACACGCAATCTCCTTCACTGTCCTCCATGAAGATAGCGCCGAAGATAACACCCTCGTCAATGCCGGGCGATTGGTAACCTTCCTTGGTGACATCCTTGATACCCTCGCCGGTGGGCTTCTTCAAGGGGCCGAAGTGGAATTGGCCTTGTCCGCTCACGTCGTTGGCGACCGGGCCATTGACAAGGGCGAGAGGGTCAGAGTCGGTGGAGTAGTACACGGTGGTAGTCCTGTTTCATGGTCAGCACTGGGCGTCCTCGAGAAGGAATCAAGGGGAGGGAAGGCTTACGAAGCAGTGAAGTCCATAGTGACTCCGAAGTTGTGCCACACATCCTCGGTGAAGCTCGTGTTGAACAGTTGGGGGACCGGCTTGGAGTTGACATTGCCAAACAGGACCAAGGTGTCCGGGTCTAAGCCTGTTGGGGGCCAAATGTACCCTGTCTTCAGCACAATCTGGTTGGTGCTGTAGCTGTTGTCCTCAAGCCACACCAGCTGGTACTCGTGGGAATTGTTGAACGGGCGGGCAGGGTCCTTTCGGACAGAGAAATGGAGAGTCTTGACGCCGATTGTGGAGCTGTCGGTTCCGTTGTTGCCGTCGACCTGGAGCTCGGCCCGACGGAATCCGACTTGGACGTTGTCGGGAGAGGGTGCGAAGATGGAGAGGTCGGAGATCGTCACCTCGATGGCCTCGGATTTTTCGGGAGCATCAAACTAGGGTAACGTTGGTGCGAGATTCTGGTATTCCAAGGTTGATTGAACTTACCAGAGAAGTAGGCACATCAGGGATCTTGATGAGTTCAGAGAAGGCGACTTCTGCTCATGGTTAATTGACAGGCGATAGAGAACGAGCTATTAGATCGACCTACCTTTGCCCTTAACGTACTCAGTGTTAAATGGACTTGCTTCAGTATCAAACAGAGATGGCGTGGTTCCATCCGGGACTCGCCCATCGAAAACGATGGGGCATTTTTGAGCAACAGCGTTCGAAGCCAGCGCGAGCAAGGAAGTGTAAATGAGTGTCAAACCCATGGTGAAAGAATGTTTGTTAAAGAGAGTAAGGACCTGGAAAATGAAGAAGAAAGAAGAGAGGCAATAAGGTGTTGATGAAGGAGTGTCTGCTGCAATGTTTGGTGAGAGTCGGGACATATATGTACGACGCTTTAACACCACGGCCGGAGCTGATCTCCTCGCAAAAGTCGCCAGACCCGGTATTCATTTCTAGAGAAAGTCTAATTGACAGCTCGCGGCGTATAAGGTTTGCGCCCGGTGCTTCATCTGTCGGGATCTCATCTAAATAGGCTTTGCAACAATTGAGACCAGATGAGCCAGGGCGCAGACGCATAGTTAGGGAGGAGATGCATCTATGCAGGGCTGGTCGCTTGTTTACAGTACAGAGGAGATGGACCTCGAGCCGGGATCAGGAACTGGCAACCTGGTACTCCCGGTACTCCCGGTAATTGTAAGTAGTACTACTTCGTACTTGGGATGTGTTTAAACTATGTGTGTTTGGACTATGAGGCCGACAGTTCCGAAGTCCGAAGCTGGACTCTGAAGTCGAATTCTCCGTTTGGTGAAATGACTTGGCTACTACGCCGCCAGTTTCAGACGTCAAGGCTGGGCAAACTTATCATCCTGGCTTGATCGTACCGTATTCGTGGTCCTGTTGAAGGAAAGGGACGGAGATTCCTCTCCCCCTCAAACCTCTACGGAGTCGTTTGAAATGCAGCTAGACATACTACGTAGGTAGTTAGTTGCGTATACAATATGCTTCTACTTCTACAATTAACTGTCCGTACAAGCGAGCGACAACGGATTCCGTATTGCCTATAGGTACCTAGGTATTCGTTCGGACGAGAGGAATAAGCAAGCCGCGAGAGACTTGTGTGCCCAGCCAATTGCTAAGCATTTCGGCCACGCTTACGGCGTTTTGGATAGACTGGTCCAGTAATTACGGAGTATGTACAAATACAAATAGTACGTAGTACAGACACTTACTTAGCCTTTATCTGTACTCCGTATATACTACGAGGCTTTACCCTCAAAGGCTAAGACGCTAAATGGCAGGAGTGAAACATAGGCGCAACAAGTCGATATTCCGTAATTACTATGGACAAGAGATTGCAGCTAGGTATGGGTTACTTAATTCATGGCGGCTGTTTTCGTTATAAATTGAATCGAGTGGTTTTACTCATGATTAATTATTCATGAGACACGTGATCGGAGTAATATTAGACCGTATCCGGGTCAGTAAGAAGCCTCCGAAGGGAAAAGTTTCCAACCAGCGTTGGGGGAGATATTATGAAACATAAATGCTTTAGGACTATTGTTATTGTCATTTGACTCTTTTATATACGCAATGACAGAAAAAATTCGTAGCGGTAAGCGGCACTCGGTTTGAAATAGTGGATTTGTTTTTTGTATTATGCTTTATCCCACCCAAACCTTACTATACCTACTCGCCGCTCCGTACACAAGTATATAAGAAGATTTTCAGTGATGCCGCGTACATTGTTAGGAGAAAATTATAACGGTGAAGCTATTCACAATAGCAATTTAAAATGAAAGAGGTAGAAAAAAATAGATGTAGTACGTTGATTGAGCGGGCGGCTTATTATCGATGCACGTATGTTTCCCCTTAACATACCGACACCATCGCCTCTTCGGTTGTAGAATCATAGTTGCAACGAGCGCGCCACTTGCACGAATCGTTGAAAAAGTATATTCGTATCTTGTACGACTCCTTTCGTTATCAAGACACGTGCTCGCATTGCTCGTAAGTAGAATGATTAATCAAGCACCGCGTCTTTAAAGGCCTTCAAAACGTATTACGTCGCCTTGCTTAATCGATATGGGAATTAGATCTGTATCTACGTTCAGATCGAGTACTAATATTGATTTGGTTTAGATCCCTACCATGGGCGATATAGAGCGGCGGGTAGATTTGGGTAGGTGGCCCATTATTTGGGTGGGGTGAGGTTTGCAAAAAACACATCCACTTTGTTCGAGGCATAAGAAATGATCGGCTTGCGAGAATGTGCTCTACTACTATATTCGAGGCATAAAAAACTATCAGCCTCCCTATCAGTTACAAGATAACTCAATAAGCTGTTAACCGTGCATTTAGACTTGTTTAATCAATTTTTTTCTTTTCTAGATCTCCAATACATATTCACGGAAAGGCAGCTTAAAGTCTACAGTTTCTGGAAACTTAGAGAAGAGTATTTGTATCTCTCCAGATTCCTCTCGAAAGACGATAGAATCAATCCACCACTTCATTGCAATTCACTACTTATTAGCGAACGATTGTTTTTTTAATCGAGAGCTGTCAACTTTCATTAACCTTCTATCCATCTTCGAACACTTCCCCCCTTATTTGTAAACCTGTCAAAATGATGTTCACCAGCACTATCGTCGCCGCCATGCTTGCCTCTGCTATTTCAGCAGCTCCTGCCGCTACAACAACAACAGAGGTTATCAAGCTTTGCCGCGATAATAATTTTAACGGGTGCTACGACGTCGAATACAAGCCAACTTATTGCAGTAGGTTCCTAATTTTCAAGACCCTATTCGAGCCGAAGCTTACAAATTTAAAGTCACTAGTGATCTTAGTCGGAAAGGCCTGGATGGTAGCATTTCCTCTTTTAACACTAATGGCAGAGACTGTATCTTCTTCACGTGAGTACTCATGTTTTCTGATTGAAGCTCTGGCAGCTGACTAAAATAGGGATGGGAATTGCTTTTCTAAGGCTTTTTCGTACAACGGCTTTTCGCGACAGTTTTCAAACAAACCCGAGATCGCTCGGTACGATGATGCCATCAATTCGATCATGTGCAAATAGGGAGCTGCTTATAGGTACAGCTTTGGCCAAACCACTTAATGGATTTGTACACAGAATTCTGGGGGATTCGATTTTTTAATTATATTTGTTCAGATTATGTTGCAGGCAAGATAATTAGAAATTAAGGATTCTGTTCAATAGAGAATGCTCCAAATTTAATAAACACCTTGTCATTTCATCATGCCCTCTGTCCCTGACCGACCGATCGGGCCAAAAGCCAATCCAACCGGTACGCTTATTGAATGCGCACCTTGGGTCTCCGAATCTCTGCTGGCCACCCTCTGCTTTCTTCTCCCTTCGAGCTTACACGGTCAATCCTCATTCCACTTTACAAGTTCGAATCTGCCATATCAAATATCGCAGTGGCGAGAAGCTCCGGCATTCGTGCTCTGTGTGCATAATGTACTGAGCCCGTCGAAGACAATCCTTTTTCGGCCTGGCCACACACGGAGCCAGGTGCTCTCTCGCTGCAGACGTCTCGCCAATGTCTAAGATCCTGCTTAAGTTCAATGCATAAACGACTCTCATCATCTAGAAAATACTCGGAGTCGGATTGAATAACATTATTTGGTCGCTCGCATTCTGAAGGAGAGAGAGAGGGGGGAGTTAAAAGGAATTAAATTCTTATTTCCACATTATATAGCCGGTTCGACGCTGACTGTGGTTTATTTCGGCGAGGACTTGCAACAAAGCTGCCGAGACCAATCCCATTCACGTTTCTCCAAACTTCCATTTTGGGATTGGCATTTAATATCGGCCACAGATGGACTGCGTTCCCCCTGTAAGGTGCATTAAAGTAATCGTCGACTCGCTTAGGTGGGCCTCCTTTCATCGTTTCAGTCTACCAGCCGACGACTAGAGCAAAAGTTTGGACGGATTTATTTCCATATGCGGTAAAAGCCCCTGAATCCCCAAGTCCTAAGTGACCCCAAAGTCAATAGAACAATTCTATACTTTATCAATTCCCCTCTTCCTAGCCATTGCTCCATATCTTTACTTTTCATCCCGTTCCCGTCTTCATCTCCTCCTCTCTTGTTGGATCGCCAGTAGCGATCTATCGTAAATATTCGTGACATCGTCAAAGGACTTGCAATTGCAAAACACTCGGTTTGAGAAGTATCTGAATTCTGTATGCTCCCCAAAGTTCAGGAGAGCTGACTCCTTCTATTCGATTAGAAGGAGTCACGTGCACTAGCTAAATAGTACCGGTAGCTTTTACAGTCAAGCTGGGGGCTCCCTAACCGCGCGACTCACTAAGCGAGGCACGCTAAGTAACGAATGTACCATGGTTCACGGGTGGAGTTGGCCACATCATCCCCCAACAACTACCGGTACTACCGGTAACTAACTTAGGTCGATATGAATATACCAACATCTCTCCAAAAATCAGCGTGGCGTGCCCGTCACTAGCGCCACGGACACCAACTCCCTCTTTAATCTCCCAACCTCTAACGCGATGTGGAATTTTTTAAAAAAAAAATTTAAAAAAAATTAGAAATCCAATTTGCATACTAAATGACTTATTCTAACCCATCCAACCTCCTCCTCCCCCGCAAAAAAAGCCGCCAGCAAAAAACGAAGACGAAAAGCAAAAAGCAAGAAGAAAAAGAAAAAGCCACGACCTTGAGCGCTAAATATTATCTACCAGCTTGCAATTCCTGCTAGCATTAATTTCCGTAAACTATATCATTACTGGTATCCGATCAACCAATCGAGAAATTTCTGGTCCGAGGAGTTCTGTTCGATATTCTTTTTTGTAAGATTGTCGTTTTATTTAGATTCGTCCCCAGGGGGTTGAAAGATCTCTCTCTGATTCTATATGCGCGTAAAGAAGGGCGTTTTATATATTCTGACTATCAAGCCAGGGAGGAATGATTAGATAAGGTATTTTCTTTTTCGTATCATTTGATTTCCGTTTTACTCTTAAACAATGAACGTAGATGGATAGATTGACGTGATATATACGTCGTATGCATTTTTTATATTTGATAAGATGTGATATATATATATTGATTATCTTCAAACTGAGTCAAGGAGTTTTTCTTTTCAGACACTAATGGATGTTTGTTTAAGAATGCCTTAGATTCATCGAGCGTCGTTGTCTTCATAAGTAGGCAGCAAAGCAAATACATGCCTATTTAAAGTCCATATCCCAAAAGTCAGAGAACTCCAGCCATGCTCCCCAAGTCCCAGCCCAAAACGGCATACTTCGCCCGTCCAAAGAATCTAACCCACGATTCCCCCTCCTGCATCCAAAACGTCTCTATCCCCCCCTCCAGCAAGCGCAATGCAGCTAAACCTCAAATCACCCCCCTCCAACCCTTTACTCTCGGCATCCCTCTTCTCCAACTCAATGACCCTACCCAGTCCCAACGCGATCCCCCGCTGACTCAACACATCCTCGTCCTCAGCCAACGGACCCCGATCCAGCGGCCCCATCCTGCTTCCCTCCAACTCCCACAGCCGCCCGCCCGCCTTCACAAACGCCACAAAGTGCTGTCCGAGCCGGTCCCCCTCCTCGGCCGACGGTGCGACGGTATCGCCCAGCTCCGCAACAGCACAGTGCGCGTCCTCGAAAGCCTGGTCCTCGTAGAGCATCTGCGCGCGGTCGCGCATGCCCAGCGGCAGGGCCGTGGCGCGAATCCTGGCGGCGGTAGAGTCGGGGGCGAGGTGGTGCCGGGCGGCGCCATTGAGGAGACAGTGCAGGAGGCCGATGCTGCCGCAGGCGTGGCCGATGGTCTGCTTGAACCAGACGATGGGCTCTTGGTCATCGGCGCCCTTGCAGGTGTGCGGGTGCTCGGCGGTGTGCGAGGCGTCTTCGATGGTGCGGTCGGCGTGCCAGGCTGAGGTGAGGGGGATGATGACGAGGAGGGCGTGGACGGGGCGGGGGATCAGGGAGAGGAGTGAGGGTTCCGTTAGAGAGTAGACGTCGTGGAATTGGAGGGTTGGGGAGAGCCCCAGCGAGAGGGCGAGGGCGTTCATTACTTCGGGGTTATTTTCTACGGTATGTATCAGAGAGGTTTTAAGGGGGTTGAAAGGGGGAAGAGGTAGGTAAGTACCGAGGACTGTGAAAGTCTTCTTGCCGTTTACATAGACGGCTGGAATAGGCATTTTAGCGGCTGTTTAGTGATGATGTTATCGAGCTGCGGGTTGGAGATGGGTGTTTATGCTAAGATTGGCAGTTTTTGGTCGGTATGTACTTTATACGGTAGTACTATTGTTATTGTTGATATTGGAAGAAAGAAGCGAAGGGAGCAGAGTTGTCGAGCTGTATACGAGGCTGTAGCTGCAGCGGGGCAAGCAGGCAGCCGCGGGGTACAAGGGTTTGCGGACTTAAGAAATAGATAAAGTTTCAGATCGATAACAACCAGTATTTGTTCCCAAGACATACTACGTAGATAATAGTCAGTGCATTGACTTTGTAATTTGCGGGCTCTCGGTCATAGTCAAGGCAAGCAAGTGTCTTAAGTCAAGCAAGTGTCCCATTTCAATTATTTCAACTTGTATTAGAAATAACTTAGCAATGAATAATACTATAATATTCACTAAATGCATGGATCTGCGTAATCGAGATCTTTAAGATTCTAGCCAAGTATGAAATCTTTTTATTAACAACTTAATAATCAATAGATATTAATCGTATTTTATATATCGAATTTTAACATAAAAATTTGATATTTAAAAAACTTTTAGTCAAGCGGACTCGCGCAATTTATTTTTATTATTATAGCTTTTATAATGATTATTTTATTTGAGTTATAAAAATAATCGAAAAGTTGATGTTCTTGAATTTTCGCTAAATTATTCGAGCTTTTTTCGCTTCTACGATTCTAATATTTGCGTAATAGGTATTATTATACTTATTTTAATAATAAAAATATATAATATTTTGTATAATTAAAATATAATTCACTTATGTCGATTCGTATATCTAATTTTTATTATTATAACTTTTTTCGTTACTGACTTATTCCTAATATAAATCGCGATTTTCGATTCTTTTCGATGAAGAACTAAAATCATCATTTTTTTTTTTTTTTACGATTTGCAACTTAAATAACTTAATAACAAAAATAGCTATATTAATAAAAATTGAATGCATTAATCGGCGGAATCGAGCTCTTTTAAAGTAATAAATTTAAATATCATAGCTTTATTTATTGCCAACTTATTTCTGATACAAGTTGAATTAATTAAAATAGGACACTTGCTTAACCCAAGACACTTGCTTGCCTTGACTGTGACCAAGAGCCCGCAGGTTACAAAGTCAGTGCACTGACTATTAAGCTACTTACAAAAGCACGGTAAGCAAAGATTTGATATGTTGGAACTGAGACCTTGATCAGTTGAGTCAACTCAGTCAAACAGGACCAGGTCAAGTCATTCAGCTGAGTCAACTTAGTCAAACAGGTCAAGTCACGTGGGAATCTGTTTGTACCTTCCGTTTGCATCGGTAGCTATAAGAGGCTACTACTACCTTACGTACTTAGATAGACATGCAATACCAACTGAACACACTCACACCTTGAATACGTATTCAACCTTGCATCATCATACCTGTGATACCAACATGATAGATATTAGAAACCATTTTGAAGATATAAAGGATTGTTGGATGTATAGTATTCTGATTTTAGAGTTTGATAATCTGAAAACCGAAAAAGCTGATGAACGTTTTGATTGATTGACGGTAGCCTGCGGGAGGAGAAAGAGATTTATACTCATATCATATTATACTATAGCTAGTAGCAATAGGGCTGAAGCGCAAACGCAAGTCCCTTCTGCACCTCGCCTTCTGTCGCTTTACACGACGGCGCTTCTTCTCCTGGCCAAAAGAAACTTGATCACGGATCCTATTAAGCACGATCCCGAAAGCCTACGATTTTTTTAAAGCTATTTTAAGCAAACCGGCCAACTTTCAAGCCTTCTTCACCACTACGGAGTTCTACATCAAGCATTGCACTCGATAAGAGTACTCTTTTAACTAACTGATACTGCTTTCATAAACAGGACGAAGTACGCTCCGCTTTATAGAGACTGTAAAAGCTTGCTAAATACATAACGAAGTAAGATACGGCTTTGATGTTAATCGCTTTGCGACTCGCATAGCTACGCTATAAGCCAGCTATAACAGTTTGTACTTGTTTAACTTTCTTTATAGTCTTCCTCTTACTATAATCCATCTTATCTATAAAAAAAAGCGCAGACGATAATAGCTTTCGCTGCGACACTTTGAATTGCTTTTTAAAGCCGTCTTGCATGTAATTCCTTAGCTTAGCACGTCGCCGTACCTTATGGGAGGTCCCAAGGCGGCAGGCTTCGCCTGCTATCCGCCCGACGTTAATAAACACAATAATAACAACAATAGGGCTGAAGCTGGAGTGGATAAATTTTCAAATACTTTTTGGCTTGGTTGATGCAAACCATCTTCAAATAAATAAACTAGATTCATCTTAAGAAGACTAAGTCCGTAGGCACTTCGTAGACAAGTTTCAGAGCCGAGTTCACTCATTCAGTTATCCTAAATAAAGAGTCAGTGCCACAGCCAAGAATTTAGTAACGTGGACGGTTTTAAAAGATAACGATCACTGTCCTGCCAATATGCGTCCGTCCAGTATAGAAGTGTACAGAGAACTTATGAACCTTATTAATTCGCTGAATGTAGCTATTGCCCGCACTCTATTCAATGCTGTATTGGTTGTATCATATTATAATTATCATCGTCGGCGCTGCTTTCGTAGAGATATCTATTGGTTGCAACGAAAATATTCTCCATTTTTTCTCCTTCTTTAGCAAAACGTTTTCCACTTTTCAGGAGGCCAAGCTTTCTATACCGAATTCGGCCAAGATTAATGAGCAACCTACCACGGTACAGGCGTGATTGTTACATCCTTGAGGGTGCCTTAAAAGTTTGGATTTCCATTTTAAATTCCCTGGTTACCTTACCCTCAAGAGTGTAACAATTACGCCTGCGACGTAGTATCTGCCTTCTGAAACTTCTATTCTGAAGTTCACTCAATTAGATAATTATAGGGTTAACTCAGTACCTACTTATGCATGTTAAGTTACTCACGATTTTTCTATTACTGCGGACAAACTCCACAGTTCCCTTGGAAAAGGCCAGGGCTGCGGCCAGAAGGAGTTTGTCCGCGATTTAAAAAAAATCATGAGTGGTAACTCGGCTCCGAAACTTGTCTTATAGGTACCTTACGTACCTCTTCGGTCTTCAGGCGTAACGATAAGCTCTGCAAATTTTATCCGAAGGGTGTAAGCAGCTCCAAAAGATCGAGAAAAGGAGAGACAGGATGTATTGAAATAAGGTTATCGGCTATCGGTATATGTGTATAGCCCGAGGCTTTAAATTCAAGTTCCAAATTCTTCACAACCTACCTCCAGGTTTCCTATATGTTTCCTATACGTTTGCGTCCGACCAAGCATACATGGCATTTGACCAATTTGTAATCAATCAGCAATAATACAAAGTTTGCTCCAATACCACCGAGACAAGCCACATCTGGTGACCACAGCACCAACCCGCCAAACCAGTGAGTGGCAAATGCAAAGAAAGTACTGTGACCTTGAGCGAGCAGTCTATATATCTTATCCCAATTTCAATTCCCTATGTTGTTGAGTCGTATGTATCTATTCCCTATTAAGTTTACATCCTTATTTACATTTCTATTTCAAAGGTTTTTTCTTCTTCAAAAATGGAATCATTGATTTATTCCTCCTCGCTCTTAATTCTATCATCTCATTTCTATCATCTCCATTATGTTTATATCGAATCACCTTTCCGTTTGGTGTTCCTTCCCGTCTCTACTTGACGCTACTGCTGCAGCGCTAGTCTTGTTCTGCCGGGCGGGTGCCTAAATCCAAACATCGTCAGCCTTGTGCCCTTCTGAGAATATCTATGGTATTCGGAAGGTGAGAAAATCGATCTAAAGCTCTATTCCTTACAACTGATCGATACATTTATTTGTCCTCTGAACATTAGAAAGGCAGCTTTGTTACTCCTATGTATCTTTCAGAGCGAGACAAGAGTGAGACGAGACTGTTCACTTTGTTCGGTCCTCCGTGGATGTTATTATGATACTTGTCAACGCATGTTTGTGACGAGAAGCCGGCAATATACCCACACACAACACAACACAACATACCACAACACAGTACAGTAGTTCACACACTTGAGATTTGCTACTGGCGAGAAAGGGCTAGGCAGCGGGAGATTGACCTCGCCAGAAGCGTCGCGTCGATTCGATTCGATCTCCTTCAGCAGCTGGCCATCCACTGTACAGCACAGAACTGAGCGACAGATACGAGCTGGGATTCTTCGTAGGGCCAAAGAAACATAACATCTCGAAAGCCAGAGAGCTTCTCCACTACGGCAAACTTGGTACGTCCTCGGTCTTTCCTTGCTGCTCTAAAAATCACAGCCAGCGTCCTCTCTTTTTATGCAACCTATGGTCTTTTTGCCTATACCTCCTATGTTCTATCTGCTTATACTTCCTGCATTTGATCTCCGTCCATCTTTGTCTTGCAATGCTAATAACTACCCAGGCCATGGATCCAGAACGACAGAATATCCTCAGCGATCTCGCAGACCTCGCTCGAACCGCCAATGGCCCTATTCCCACTACTCCACATCAGCCTTCACGGATCTTTACGGCCGATGTTGCAGAAGATATGAACGCCCTTCTTGCAGGAAGTACCCAGAGAGCTTCAGACATCCCATCAGAAAACGCCCAATTCTCTACCCTCGCCGTACCATCCGATAGCCACGTAGATCCAGCAATGAAAAGGCCGACAAAAGCTGCAACCTCCTCCGAAAAGCCACCCAGAGAAGAGCTTACCCCTAAGAATTTCTCCCGTCGGGACCTACTCGCGGTAGAATACGCAAAGTCGCTGCTCAACGAAGGCGATACCTTGGTGTTTGTGCGCTTCCCCAACAATGTCCCGGCCTACGATTCAACAGGCTCTGCGGTGAGCGAGAAGCACCGCGTCCACAGCGAGAAGCTCAAGGCGGCCTCTCCCGAATTCAAGAGACTTTTGGAGGATGACTGGCAGCAGCATCGCTTCAAGCGCCGCAACAAGCTTGTCGGCCAGCTCCCTGCGGGCATCACGTATATTCTGGATCTCACGCCACCCGACGAGGGCGACGAGGCCTTGAACTTGACTGCTAACCTGTCTTGTTCCCTTGGCATTCGAAGCTGGTACAGGACAGAATTCACTGAGGGTGAGGCTGCCCATGGATTGGTGGGTGGACTTGACGAGACAACGGTTCATCCCGGTCAGGCCTGGGATGAGGAGCCTGATTCTGTATCAGATGATGATACCCCTTGGACTGCATCAGTAAGCTCCCAACAAGGCTTGCGAATGAGATTTGAGGATGATTCCGATTATTCTCTGGAGGCCACACTTGAGGAAAGCAGAAAGATGTATAACGAGTTGAGAGATGGCCAAAGAGGCAACAAAAAGACGGCGGAGAATGCTGAAAGGGAGAAAGTGGTTCTCGACTACTGTCCGATACGCCACCGAACTGGTATTAGGCGTCTTCTTCAGGTAATCGAAGGTAAGGACCCAAGACTTGATTCGGCTCCGAAAGTCTGGACCCTTGCAGTCCTTGCCAACTACTTCAAGTGCCCCAATGCAGTGGTGAGTAAGCAAGGACCCGGCAAAGAGGACGTTTTTCGTATTAACTCGTCTTTAGGTCGATTTCATAACTTCTTGGATGATAGCTGACCCCAACGATAAGATCTTCGATATCCTCCCGGAAGACTGTCTCCGCATCGGTGTGTTGATCGAGAATCCCACAATCACACGATGGGCGTTCACGATCCTCGTCTCGGAGGAAGCTCTGCGACTCGGAGCAGATTGTGGTCCACCAAAGAGTACAGGCGAGGGGGCGGGCCAACTTGACGGCAAAGGCACCACCAGATTCGGACGACGTCGGGAATCTATAGACGAGGACATTCTCAATTCTATTCAGCATGCTGGTCGCAGCTTCTTCGCCAGAATTGAAGAGCAAGTGAGAAAACTCTACGACCCAGAGCTGGTCTGGCTCCAGCATCAAGTTGAGTTTGGTAAACTTCGTAGCTTCCAAGAGTTCGTTGAGGCAGCTGCCAGCTCCAACGACCTTGTCCTGGAAGAAAAGCGCTCAGCCATCGACGAGGTCATGTTGAATATCAAGCTTTACGTTAGGGGAAGAATCTTATGGTGCTTACTGAAGCCCCTCGACGAGACCCAAGGCAAACGCTGGGACGAGCTTCGCTGGCAAGAAAAGCAAATCATCCTCAAAGGCATCTCCTCGGAGTACATCTACCACTCCCTCAGCGACGAGGAACGTGTCTTGACCAGGTACTTCTGGGCTTCTATGCGCGTCTTGCCTTGGGACCAGGATGACCCTTCGTGCCGCACGAATCTGATTCGAATGTCACCACCGGCTGACAGCGAACACCACCACCTAGAGATACAGACCATAATGAAAGCTGCTGCCGATTCCCACAATATCCCGAACGTCTCCATCAGCCACCTCCACCTCGTTGTTGATCGTCTGAACGTGCTGATATTGAAGTCCCTTCGTCATGAAAACTTCAATAACGGCGTCTTTCCTGGCGCAGCCTGCGAGTCACCTAGGTCAGACACTAACGAGGGATATTCCGATTCCGAGGTCGACGGAGTCACCAAAGACCGGGAGACCGCCCTCAAAGAAGAAAAGCTCAAGTTCTGGCAGCGCGCACTCGCTTTCCGCGACGAGGAAATCGCAGAGGGCAGCGGTAGCGGCTTGGAAAAGAACGTGCATTTTTCAGGCTCTGCTGCCGGGTCCATCAGTCCGCAAAAGACGCGTACCGTGGAGGGACCTGTGTCGACCACCGGTATCCACGGCCACGAGGTCAACATACCTAGCGAATCCCTTCAGTCGCTCGGCACGCTGGGCGACCCTCCCCAGCCGAGCCCAAGAGTTCCGCTCGACGAAGACATTGGCACCGACTCCCCCTTCTTCTCTCTCAGGGCTATATTCGCGCAGATCGAGAGGCACATCGACGCGCTGTGCTCAGAGCTGCTTTCGTACAATGAGATGGAGCGGCCTTCAATCTGCGACACTCTCCTGTGCCTGTCGGACGACGAGTACAAGTACCTCCCGCTCTGGGCTGGCGGCCTCGACGACGATTCCGGTGGCGTATACGAGATGGAACTCCCCCCCGTAGAGCGCGGCGGCGCAGCCGGTCCAGGACCAAGCTACCACACGGGCTCGACCGTCGCCTCCTCAAGCGATTCAGCGATCCGCTTCGACGACGCCGATGCGGAGAGCATGGATGGCAGCAGCGTCGCGTCATCGACGGATATCATCCACACCAGCGTCGGTGTCGAAGATGGGTACAGTATGGACCACGTAGATCGGCGTCGCATCGTGCCAGAAGAGGATTCTGAGGCTTCGTACGATCGACTTTCCGATGCTCCGGAATCCCAGGCTCAAGCCCCGACGCAAGAGATCAACCTCCCCATCCGCGAGAGAGATAGAGGAGGCAAAGGCAAGGAAGTCGAGGCCGTATCCGACACCACCTCCTCCTCCTTCTCCTCCAGCCAACTTCAACCACCGGCCCGCGGCTCAGCATTTCCCTCCTCCTCCTCTTCCAAACCCAAAGAAACGAGAGGGGATTCCCCTCCTCCACCCCTCCCCAGCGGTTCCACCCAAGCCGCTCCAAGTGACCATTTCGACGACGACGACGCAGCCTTCTACGCTGATTTCGGCGACGGCGACGACTTTAATTTCGCTTATGATAGTGGGGAGGAGACGGAGACGGAAGAGACGGAGGAGGAGCCCGAGGAGATGATATCCAAGCGCGAGGATCATGGTGCAAGCAAATAAAGGTAAAAGGAGAAGAAGGGTTGAGTGTGCACGCATCGCATGCATGATGTCGACGCCCTTTAAAGCCTGCTTGCCCTTGCCTTGCTGATTTTTTTGAGACTGTGCTTTTGCGCTGGGAACTGTGGCGTGGGGAGGGAGCTCACATGATAGACGGACGGGTTGGTTGGTTGGTTGGTTTGGACTGGATTATAGACTGGTAGTTGGGTTAGTTGAGAAGACGAAAAGAACAATGAAGAAGAACAAGAGTTAGGCTGATGCAGGTTGAGGATAATGCTGCGAGGTACTGCTATGATGTGGATAGAGTTGAGAGATGGGTACGACTCGGTCATGAACAACTTGTGTTAGCTGGGCTGGTTGGTTTCCATCTATGCTAGCTGCGAGAAAAATTACTAGGTGACCCTGGTCCGAAGACATAACATCGGTAGCGTTACCGTTTATATTTATGCGTTTTGGTAACCTCCATTTTTTGTTATAGTATGACCTTTTCCATCACAGAACAGGATATTTAGCACTTTTTCGCCTATTTGCTTCACCTCCCAATCCGCGCACCTATCCACAAAAGATCTACGACCAAGAGATACTAGACAACGCACCCGTCAAATCAGCCACGCGCACCCTGGGATACCGTAGAAGAAGAAAAGAAGGAAGAAACTTACTACAGCATGATGCCGGCACCAGTAGCCAAAGCCGCGAACTGCGTGATGGCCTTCCTGAGCTCTACGCCCTTCTCGCTACCCGTCTCCAACAGCTCCGGGATCACAGCTACGGTCCCCACATACAGGAACGTGCCAGCCGTAAACGGCAATAACATGTCGCCCCAAGTAAGACTCGTGCCCATCAGGCCGTCGAACCTGCTAACCCCTTGGTCGGTACTGCCGCCGCTTAATTCCTGGATGGAGATACCAATGAGGGTGCCAAGGAGGGCACCGAGGGCGGTAACGAACTGGGCGGCCATGGCCTGCTTCTTGGAGAAGCCGGACTGGATGAGCAGGGCGAAGTCGCCGACCTCGTGGGGGATCTCGTGGAAGAAGACAGCGACGGTGGTGGTAGCGCCGATGGTGGGCGAGGCGTAGAAGGAGGAGGAGAGGGCGAGACCGTCGGTGATGTTGTGTGTGAAATCGGCGCTGGCGGCACAAGATCAGAAAAGTTGGTATTGCGACCCCGTGGAACATAAAGAGAGAAAAGAGAAACAGCGGAGGTACGAGAGGGGAAAATCGTAGGGAGGAAAGATGTACATCAAGTTCAGATAGCCGGCCAGCTTGACACTGGCATTCTTCTCCTTCTCTTTCTCTTTCTCCTCCCTCACAAGCTCTCGCTCCGTGCTGTCGTTTCCGCCCTTCTTCCGCAACCTCGAGCTCTTCGCCGGCGAGTCCTCCAGGGCACTACTCGCCGCCGCAACAGGCTTCGCTACTTCCACCGTCCCCTGGCCGTGGCTATGGCTATGATTGTGATCGTGCCCGCCCTGGCCCCCAGTCGCAATCCTCAAGCTCTTGTCCATCGCCACGAACGTCACGAAGCCAACCAAGATAGCCACTCCGAGCAACAAATTTCGGTTCGGCTCCACCAGCACGAAACGCACATGTTCGTCCTCGTGCTCGCCGAGGAATATCTCCGGCAGCAGGTGGAACAGCGTGTCACCGAGCAGGCCTCCCACCGCGAACGCGACCATGGCGGACAGCGCCCCGGGATCGATATCCGGCGGGCATAGCGCCAGCAGGAGATTTGGCGGCCCGGAGATGTACAGTGTAGCTAGCAGGGCATTGATGGCCGGCGTGCCTGGGAAGAGCACAGCGAAGATGCGGGAGGTCAGGGAGGACGTTGCTGGGGAGGTCGCGGCTTGGTAGGCATTGAGGTCTTGGACCAGGGGGCATTCCTGCACCGCAGACAGATAGTGTTAGCAATAGTATAGAGGTTTTATAGGTATCTTAGCTGTATATATTCTATGATCTGCGTGCTGCCTGTAGGGAGACCTGGGGAGGACGCGGGAGGAAGTGGGGGATGCTTGCCTGCAATGCGTCCTCGATTTCGGGGATGCTCATCGACGCCACGGACGCCGCATATTTCTCGGCATAGACGCCGACGAGGGCAATGGCTAAGCAGAGAAGAAGGGCAACGCGTCGGGGGTGAAGGAAAGCCATTGTAGATTGTATAAGGTATAGTGGGGGATCTGGTGTTGATGCCCGGCGGGAAAGCTGTCAATTCCGTAATGCGAGCCCAGCCTACTTAGCGTGGCGCGGCAAGCAACCCTTTTCTTGTGAGGTCCACTTTTAATAGACCTTTGTTTACTTCACCTATCATGAAGTAACCTTCTTAAGCATGTTCTTGCGGCCTCAACGTGGATCGTCTGCGTCTCATTGAAAGTACCAGCTATACGGAAAGATATTGTTCAAGAGCGTGCATTCTCATTCATACGTAGCACAGAGTACCTACTCCACTAAGACACTTGGTATCTCAGCAATGCAATAAAGTGTGCATTCCTGCTAGAGTGTATGCTCTCTATGAAATGCTGACACGTTTTAACTAATGCAAGAACGTAGTACATAGCGCTGACTGAAGATATATATTCACGTGCAGAGCTGACATTGAATTGAGAGATAAGGCGGTCTGCCGTGTCAAGAAAGTACTTTACAAACAAAACCTGTGAAAAAAATTTCTGATTTAGACACTCGTCTATGATAAACAATGTATAAGAGACGATGCGTTTCATCAGGTGTCATAAGATAATATTAAATATAAATATGTTTCCATATATTCTAACGAGCCTGGAGGGCTCGGACTTCGTTTCGTCACACCTGATGAGCCCATGTCATGGCGCATTGGGCCAGTGGGATCCAGCTCTATACAATCAGTAACGATACCTATACATCAATCGGCTTTTATTGCGCTGGGGTATTGTTAGCGACATGTTCCACGGACCATGCAGAAAGGTATACATACCCATATATCCTCCTCACAAAAGCATACGCCGTCAGAAAGCCCACCGTCCCACACAGCAGACCGTAAACCACACAAGCCATGAAACTGTAACTGAAGAATAACAGCCCGCTCACGAAGCCTTCGATATGCAGCTTGGTGAAATAATACCATACGCAGTACAAGAAAACCCAAATCGCGCTGCCGCCACCGACCGCAAAGCTATGCCACCACCAGTTGTAGTCTTCGCTACAGAGCCTGATGTATATGGTCACAACTGTGACCTCAGCGATGGTGATGATGAGGATGATGGAGACGACGGAGAGAAATCCAAAGACGTAGTAGTAGCCGGACTTGTCTTGCCAGAGGGATCGGAAGACGAAGAGGAGCTCGATGAAGATTACGGCAAAAGGGATGAGGCCGGCTAGAAGGATGGATTGTGGCGAGCGGATGTACCAAGCTTGAACTGGGATTTGGCGGGGAAGGGTTGTCGTTTTGGTTGGGTGTTCCCAGGCCCCAGTTCGCAGATAGCCGTACCATGACCCGGTGTATACAAGAGGTAGTTGAATACAGAGCCAAAGCAAAATGATACCAACGAGTGTACTGAAGGGCAGGGCGGTTGATGAGGCCTGAGCCCAGACGAACAGATTCAGGATGAAGATTAGAGAGAATAGAAGACCCGGGAACAGAATGGCGGTGATGATAGAATTTTTGCGCCAGTTGAGACCACCAAAGGTCTTGTACACCCGGCCTGAGAAGTATCCCGAGAGGAGCCCGGCAAATACGAACAGTCCAACACCGACAGAAACGAACCCACCACGGAAACTTGGATTGAGAACCCCAAAACTGCTTAGGGCGAGAAGACCGACTGCCATAAATACCAGCTGCATGCCGGATCCGACGAGTGGTGCCAAGAGGTGGCCATACGCGGGGGCCCTGAAAACGTCTCCGTGAAGCAGTTTCCATCCTGTAACATCCTCCAGAGGTTCCTCGTCAGATGATACATCTGCATCATTGTCGGTGTCGCCAACCTGCTCGAGCAGCCCTCCTGTCTTTTCGTTTGCTTTAGGTGTCCGTGTCGCGCTCGCTGGTCTGGACCGTCTCTTATTCCTCATCCTCCCATCTTCGATGACTGCATCTTTGTAGGTCTTGATATCTGATCTGATAGTCCGCGCCAGAATCATGGCCACAATGACGCTCAAAGCCCCGGTAATGATCAACGAGTTGATGATTGCCAGCCAGTGGATTCGGGAGCCTTCCTCCTGATTCACAAAGTATAAATCCCATCTATGCGCCCACTCTATCGTGTTTTCTTCGCGCCAGTATACCGAGTACGAGTAGGGGATATCTAATGTAGCTCCATCATCGATATCCATGGCGCTCTCGGGGGGGTGATAAGAGGATTCCGGGTACTGAGCTGATAAATCGGTTCCATTCGGCCGGAGATAAAGTTCGAAAGGCTCATCGTCATCGTTTATATCTGTCGGGCAACCAGAAGCTGATCTCTTCCCAGGTCCAATACTCTTCGTATAGACCTCGAATCCTACCACTACCTTTCCACCTCTCTCTCCGTCCTTGCCGGGCGCCTTTCTGTATCGGATGACGATGGCGAGATGATTGTTGATGTAATATCTGGACTTTCCCACAGTCGAGATTTCTTTGTATCCCAACTTGAATCCTGCTGAGTAGTATTTTCTGGACTTGTCCACTGTCACAAAGCTTGTAGCCCCTGGAAGATTGTCCACGATCCATTCCGCCACGTACCCGTCCTTGACCATCTCTCTTGCGCGCTTCAGATCCTGTCGACTGATCTTCTTCGAGCACAAGAACTTGCACTCCTGATCTTGGCCCATGACCAATTCTATGTCCGATTGGGCAATGCGATCACCCCTGAGTACCTCGCCTAGATTCAATGGAATGGTTTGTCCGCTGAGCAGTGACGAGCCGGCGTGGTTGACACCAGTAGGGGGGCATACGAATGGGAGGTCGTAGTATCCGTATTGGAGTTGTGTATTATCGGAGAAGACCTTGTTGACGAGTAAGGGGATTGCCTCATTGTCTTTGTAACTCTTGATGGACCAGCCTGCAGATTGTCAGTCCTCTGTAAAGTATAGTTCGCGTTCCTCATATATACCTGGAATATAGAATCCTTGAGAAAATGAAAAGGTCATAAAGAAAAGGAGACATTTCCCCAGGTGTAATGGGAAATGTGTATCCATCTTGATTTATCGCCAACTCATGCGATTTACATCTGCAACCCTGCGCGTCTCCCCCGGTATGCTCTTTCCCTCGCGGTTTTTCGATATCCAATATTTTCACCCTCGGTATCCTCCGGGTCTCAAAGCGTAGTCAAATTTGACGTTATGGGCGCGTGGAGGGTGGAGGGTTGGGAGTTCGTATAGGAGGTGGATTATGCTCGAACGAACGTAAGTGGCACAGAATGCCGTCGTGGAGCAAGTAACCACTTGCCTGTAGATCGCCTCAATTAATCAAATAATGCGAATGGCTACTGTTGTTGTTATTGTTGTCGTCGTCGTTATCGTCGTCTTCGTCGTCGTCGTGAAGGTTTGGGAATCGCCCTTTTGGGGATGATGCATCGGGCTTGGGGCTGGATTGAAATCCGCGAAATAAACAACCCCGGGAACTTTTTTGAAATGCGGACCCAGAGGGCTCTATTTTTAGGAACGGCAATCGGGACCAGCATATCCGTAAAACTGGATTACACGTGCCCTATTTCCTGAGCGACGATTGGTTGCGTCGGGCATCGAAATTGATTCCGATATCACGTGATATAATTATTGTAACAATCACGTCGTGCCTTCCGTTCCTGCTAGACCACGCGCTTATGATCACTGCCAAATTGTGGCCACGCTTCTTTCCCCTGACAACGAGTTTGCCCCGAGACGAGGATACCGTCCAGAATAACAACAACAATAACAATTAAGCTCCTCGGCAGCGGAGATGCCACCCAAGAGGCGACTTGCTCATACGTCCACACATGCTCGCAGCCGAGTGCCCATCGATTCCGGTTCTGTTCCTTCTTCCGGTCCCGTCAAGAGATACAGAGACGGTGAGGAGCAGCCGAGTCAACAGAGACCGGTCGTGGAAATTGTCCAGCCACTTGTCGGCCTGCATGTCGTCCGCCAGCCAGTGGACAAACGGGCGAGGGTCGACTGTTCCAGGAGTTCTGGGAGCGAAAGAGAACCTACCATGAACTCGCAGGCGGCAAATTCAAGAACTAAGTACAGATGCAGGTGTCTTAAACATATAAAAGACGACCAGTGTGAGGCCCAGAAGCTGGCAGAGAAGAGAGCCAGAGACGCAGCCAGGTACGCACGCAACCCTGCTTCGGGAACACATCCCTGGTTCCAAATTCAATGTTCACAAACTTACCTCTATGACCAGTATCATCCTGAAATCTCAAAGCATGGTACTCGCCGTCGTTGACAAGGGAGAAAGAGAGCGAATCTTCTGCCTTCACCAGGAGCTCCTCGCGAAGCATTCTCAGTACTTCACCGCGGTCTTCTCCGCACCTCCAGTGCAAGCCAACGATGTCAATATCAAGACCGAGGCTGGAGAGGCGGCTCAGACTACCGTACATGCCTCGCCCCCCGTGTACAAATTACCCAATGTCTCCGCGACGCCATTTGCGCATTTCACGTCATGGCTGTACACCGGACGTATTGACACTAGCCTTTCTCAGAATGCCGCTCGCGCAAGGAGTGAAGTATGCTCGGACTGGACTTCGATGTGGGCAACTGGCTCTCAACTCGAATCCGCGGGGTTCCGGAACTATGCTATGGATGGTTTGCGAAAGGAGACGGCTGTAACGACCCGTCGATGGCCAACGGCGGCCGAAGCTCATGAAGTCTCTGCGCAAGATGTGGATATCGAGGGGGGGAAACGTGCGGCGGGGGAAGATAGCGCGTTGGGGAGGTTCCTGGTTGCTTGCATTGCCAGCAACCGCCCATTCGAGAAGTCCGAGGGGAGTGATGAGCGAAAGACGTGGGTCGATGTCTTTGACAAAGACAAGCAGCTCGCGTTCAATGTCCTCGTTGCAGACAAGAAGTGGGGAGTGGAAGGTCCTTGGGACAAGAAATTCGACAGGGAGTTTGCGGTTGAGGATGAGACACTTGCAGATGATGATGAAGTTGCAGATGATGAAGTTGGAGATGATGAAGATGTTACAGATGATCATGATCATATTGCAGATGATGATTATCTTTCAGCATAGAGGCGCAAATATTGTACAATTACTATCATACTTCAGTCATACCAGTTTAAGTATATCCGTGGCTCTATTGTTATTATTTGGTATAAAACTTGATGATGTCATTGCCGACCAATGTCTTCTTGAAAGTAACCTACTTTGCAGAGAGTATAAAAGTATACAAAAATGCCTTCAGACGAGACTCCGAGATTCCAAGATTCACAAAAAAAGGAAAAAAAAAGGGGGAAATTTTTCAATGCCTGACCAACCTGCAACCTAATTTTGAATATGGATTTCAAGAATTGATCTGTGGATTTCGTAAGTAGGGATTAGACTAGTATTAGGTCTGGTGTATCTTCCACCTTCCATATTCGGCCAATTACGCTACGGTAGCGACATGCGAAAATAATAAGTACCTACCTAATATGTAACAAACAAGCAACAGCTCGCAACCGAACCGATTCCTCCCGCACCAGTATGTGTTCCCTCATCATTACAAGACTCAATTTAGAACTTTCTCAACTCAAAATTTACAACGGGCGAATTACAAACATATACATACACAAAATGTAGGTAGGTAATAGGGAGATGTCCAGACGCAGCGCCAGGCTACCGCCGACATAACAGGTACGACGATGATATTTACGACGACTTGGACTCGGATTCGGACTCGGACTTGGAATCGAACTCGGAATCGGATCGCCGGGATTCATACGTGCCCCCCACTGCATCATCGACAGCCAAGATGGAGATGGGTCGTGGAAAGAGCGCTTGGGGAAACTCTGACTCCTGTAAAGGAGAACAATAGCAAGAGGATTAGGAATGTGAGATCCAGGAGGGTTGTTGAGAGCGGTGATGAGGATGCGGAGGATGCGGGGGATGTTACTTTCAACTTGGAGCTTGATTGTTTTTCTTTCTGAACTGGCTGATTACGGGACTTCTCGAAGGTTTTTTCTCGTGGGGGGCCTCAATTTGGCTTTTGCTGATTCTCTATTGTCCAGCAGGAAGGAGGTTGGATTCCGATGCGGATGCGGTGGGCATCTGGGTTTGACGGATTGTGAGGCGGTGAAGTTGGTTTGGAAGAGGGTTGGGGATGTTATGAGGTAGGTTGGAATTCCGTTTTCCCCCTTCTCGTCATTTCTTTTCTTTTCCAGTTTCCTTCTTCTCCCAACAGGCCTCAGGAGTCATATGTATATCCCGTTTGAATAATTCGAGTAGGGGAAATTGATATGTCCTGGATGATTGTAGGACTTTGAGCCCAACAGACTTGACCACATTTTGGAGTAGGAATACTCTCTATCTGTTCCGTTTATTGCGAATGGATAGAGGGAAGACCGCGTCGGATGTCAGCTAAATGCGAAATCCAGTCTAATCCTCGATTCGAAACAAGTCGTGACACTAGTCATCGCCAGAAAAAGCCACGTGACGGAAGACCCTCTTCATCGTCAACGTCAACAATTCCTAATTCACAAGGAGCTCTTGGTCATGCACTCCGGGCATTTCAAAAGTCTGTTGAACAAGACAAAGCCGTTGTTCCAGTTCAAGCAGAATGCGAAGATCAGCCGGCCAAGTACTTCAACGAGTTCGACGCGGTGGTCGATTGCGACTTCGACGGACCCATTCTGGCCACCTTTGTTTCGCGGCTCCATACCGGACCCATCAGTGGCAGTGGTAATGATAATAGAGCTGAGTGGTATGATCTGCGGGCTGCGGCCAGTGTTCTCGATGCACCTGGTCATCAAAACTATATCGTACGTAATATGGACAGACTCTCAGTGTCTCCTGGTTCTGATCGTCCCAAGAATGAGAATGTCTTATCCTTTTCTTCTAGAAACGAGACTCCAAGTCCCGACTAAGCAACAGTTACTAACCGCTTATCTGCTTGCAATACACAGATGAGCGTGGTCCGAAAGCTGGGGTCTTTACATAAAGACCCACAGTCCACGGCGTGCAATGTGAAGAAGATATACTCGTTAGAAGTGGGCGTGGGCATCGACCGCGGAGAAGTAGGTAAGATCAATCTGTTGAGGGATTTCGCGTTGGCGTGCGTCGCGAGTAACAATCCGTTCGAGCGGTTCGCGCCAGGCAGTAAGGAGCGAAGCGAGTGCGTTCGGGTTTTTGGGGAAGTGCACCTGGGCATGGAGTTGTTGATGCTGGGCGGCGGCAAGAGATGGGGCGCAAAGGGTCCATGGCACGAGGACTTTGGGAGGGAGTGGGAGCGTGAGGACGCGACAGTTGTTAAGGAACCCGAGGATGGACGAGGTGCTACTACCAGTAACCGGGATACTACAGAGGATGAGTAGAGGGATGGGACGGAGATCGATGCAAAATGGCCTGGACCCGGGACCGACCTGGGTTGAGATGCGTTGATTACTTGCGGGGTGATCTTTCGAGTGTTTCCAGAGGGAGGGGAACCGAAGCCATGGGTTTTAAGGGGAGAAAGAAATCACTTGCCTCTTTTGCAATTAAAACAAGGTTCTTTTCCATCAGGGGATCAGTATTTTTCTCTCTCTCTCCATCTCTTTTTTCCCCCGAGAGGGCAATGGATGGCGAACGGGGTCAACTGCTTTACTCAAGATACGTGAGTGGTCGCATCAATGCCTCTGGTTATTGGCCTGGGAAATGCATTAGCTAGATCGGGGCTGGACAATAATACGAAGCATTCTGACGTTTGAGTGTGCATGTAACGGGAGAACGCAATCAAGGATACAGCGACGGTCGGGAACAACGAGCCTTCATTCGAATATTTCATTGATTCATCATCCTCTGTTAAGCGTATTCCCAGAGCCCCTAACAAAATCAGTATAGATCTCGAGACCGGTTACAAAGGAACATACTTAGCGTTCGCCTCGGTAAACTCATCCCACTCCCTCGCCTTCATCGTCTCCTGATCTCCTTTCTCATAATTATCCTCATCCGGTTCTGGAGTAAGTCCGCTCGCTTCTCCTCCGCCTTCTATAATGCCTCCCCTCGCCCGCTCTTCTTCCAGATACTCATCAATGGTCATCGTTGGCAGGTTATGCCCACTCTTAAACACCCCCTCCTTAACCGTCTGCCTACTATCCAGCAACGTGAACGGCCTCAACGGTTTACCCCCAGCGCTCAAAATCGGGCCTTTGTTAGCCGAAGATAGCATATCTCGTCGGTCGAGACGGTCGGAGGAGGAAGACTCGTCTTTGTCGCGCAGACCCATGCGTTCCCTGTAGTCGCGCTCGAGGGCTTCGGGGCCAGAAGGTGGTGTGGGCGGCGCCATGGCGAGGATCTGACATTCGAGATTGAGCGATTCGAGAGACTGAAAAGTGGTGTGTGTACAGAGTGCAATACTGGCGAGTTGGAGCTGACGGATCGCATCGTCATCGTTTTGCAGGTAGGCCGGGTTCTGGGCTGCGACCTGGGGGGTGTTAGCATAGCTTTAGCTTTCTTGTTGCCAGACAGATTCTTGGCTGCAGATAGAGAACTATACCTCCAGCTTCTGCTTCAGCTCCTTCTCCAATTTGAAGTTTGCTATCTTTGTCGCCCGCCGTGCATTCGGATCCGAGTTGTTGATTGTAGAGAAGGTGGTGGGGTCCTCGGTGTAGGCATTGTATAGCTTCTTTTCAGCGCCGGTGAGGATCTCGTAGTGGTCAAGCAGACTGAGAAATCGTTCGTATGCCTCACGCGCTTGTTGGAGGGTGCCCTTGCGGTCCTTGCTAGAGACTCGGAGGATAAGGTCGGCGAGGCGATAGCTAATGAGAAGATATCTGCGGGCATGCCGATCAGCTTTGTATTACAGGCAGACAGAACTATCAAAAAGGTGAAAGCCTACTGGAGATCCCCAGAAGTGATATCCTCAAGCGTCTCGTTAGGACTAAATAGGGAGAGCCGGTCTGCGAGCTTGAGGCATTCGTCGTAGGTTGCGATAGCGGCGGCGACGTTTTGCTGGTACACGGCGGTGTTGCTATCCCAGGAGGCCTCGATATCCTTCCGTTGCTGCTCTGCTCTAGTGAAAAGGGACTTGATACTGTGGTCTGCCATAGTAAGGAGGTGATGCGGTGTCCGTTGATTGATCGATTGATTAATCGATTGGACGTTGATATCGTCGCAGTAAGTAACAGTCACGGGTTTTCGCGTTCAGTTCCCCCACTCCTCCCCCCACTAAAATACTTCGTACAACAGACTCAGCGACTCTGACCTCGCTGACGTCTGCTACTCGTCCATCCACAAACAACACAAACATCGCCGATATCAATATCGACAACATAAATCCCATGCCGTGATCTCTCTCCGTCAAGCCGGCGATAGTTCCATTCACATTTCCTCTAAAGTACTGCCTTTCCCGCCTTTTTTCTCTCTTCTTCGTGTCTCGACGCGTGTGTTTATACGCGTCTCATTCAATTTCCTTCCGTTCGCTCGCTTTGCGCACTTTCGAAATGCCTTTTCCTGGGTACCTGCAGGATCTCAGTCTCCTCATCGATGATTGCTTAATCCCCGCGGGCCCCGTGGACCCCGTAGGCGGAGATGAGGGCAAACTCGACCATCATTCCATCTCTACTTCTGCGATTGCTACACAAAATCCCTCCCCTTTCACTGACCTGAAACCCAGCACATGGCATGATCTAGAGCTCTTGGATGGATCCCATGATACGAGTAAGACTAGAGAGATTGAATCAAAGGTCGAACAGCCGACTGGAGATACCTCATCTCTATTCACCTCCAAATCCTCCGGCGACGATATATCAAGATCGTGGACTCCGCTCGCAGCTCCTTCTTCGACCACTATAACACCACTCATCCTCCTCAACTGGAAACCTCTTCCTTCAACTGATGAACGCAATCGAGATCTTCTGAAGCTTTTCAATCTGCCTTCTTCCAACGGTCGCAACCCTCTGGCTTACCCGTCGCAGCCAGGAACGGAGAATCTACCCGTCATGGCTGAGACACCCCCGACCTCACCTTACCCGGCTCCAGCTGACTTGAGCGCCAATACACCCCATGGTCCAACCTCCGAAAACCCTCAGAACCCCAACTACCACACCAACTTTCTCAAGGCAGTTAGAGACGCTGGATGCGCTCCGGCCTCTGCCTCATCCTATGCAATCCCTCCACTCCGAGGTATTTCCTCACAAACGGTCGCAGCATCGCCCTTGGCTGCCATCTTGGACACTGCTCTTGCTACCCGCAACACCGAAGCTGTTATTGCAGATCTCAAGCGCTCTCAACAGGCCCCCTCACTCGCTGTCCCTCCTCATGCAAAGAGACGCCAAGGCTCATCTGCAAGTGCTGGGACTTCGGTATCCTCTGGTGGAACTTCCAATGCTGTCGAGACATGGGTGGATAAAGCAACGGCAGATGAAGACGAGGATGGAATCTACGAAAACGATGATCTTGATGATGACGAGCAGCAACCGGCTACAAAACCTCGAAAGATCACTGAGCGCAAGAAGAAGCTAAATGCTGTGGCTGACAGTTTTCTCCAGGACTACCTGCAAAAGTCGATTGAAGAGGAAAAGCGAGGTCGTCCCAAGGATGAGGCTCTCCAATCGACCAGATGGCTTGTCAACCAGGCCGAGAGTCGGGAAATTATCTCGACTCCTCGTCAGTACCAGACCGAGCTCTTCAACGAAGCCATTAATAAGAATGTCATCGCCGTGCTAGATACGGGATCCGGAAAAACCCTCATCGCCGTCCTCCTCCTTCGCCACATCTTTGCACAGGAACTCGAAGATCGAGCAAAGGGCCTACCAAAGCGAATCTCGTTTTTTCTGGTAGATTCCGTTCAGCTTGTCTTCCAGCAACATGCTGTCCTGAAGGCCAACCTTGACCAACCCATGGAAATGTTCTGCGGTGACATGGGCATTGATTTGTGGAAAAAATCTACATGGGAGAAGCATCTGGATAAGAACATGGTGATTGTCTGCACCGCCGAAGTTCTCCGCCATTGCTTGCACCACTCGTTCCTATCCATGGCTCAGATCAATCTGCTCATCTTCGATGAGGCTCATCATGCGAAGAAAGACCATGCCTATGCCCGAATTATCAAGGACTTCTACGTTACCCACGAGGACAAGCACACTCTTCCCAAGATCTTTGGCATGACAGCATCACCTGTTGATGCGCGTGTCGATGTGCGAAAGGCTGCTGCCGAGTTGGAGTCGATCCTCCATTCCCAAATATGTACCGCCAGCGACCCAAAGTTGTTGCAGCAGACCATCACGGTGAAGCAGGAACAGGCGGCTGCATATGCACCTTTGGGCCCGAGATTTGAAACACCGCTGTATGCGCAGATGTTTGAGAGATTCAAGAATAACACTGTCCTCCGAAAGCCTCTGAACTTTGCGTTCGACGCCACTAAAGAATTAGGGGCGTGGTGTGCAGACCAGGTCTGGCCATTCTGTCTCGGAGAAGAGGAGTGCAAGAAGTTGCAGGCAAAGACTGAGCGTAAGTATCATGCTAAGAAAATCCAAGAACCACTAGCAGTGCTGGAGAAGCACAAGGCTCAGATCCAAGAAGCTCGAGACATCATGAAAGCTCATGTCTACGATGCTCCTGACTTCACAGACAAGACCGCGGGCTCGAATAATCTATCATCCAAGGTTGTCTTGCTGGTTCGGTACCTTCGAGAGAGATTCGAGCGACCAACTGATGACAAGGCGATTATTTTCGTCAATCAGAGATACACAGCTCGTTTATTGGCCAAGCTCTTCTCGCAACCAAATATCGGCACCCCTCACCTACGATGTGGAACACTGGTCGGTACTCGTAGCGGCGATGCCGGTGACCTGAACCAGTCTTTTCGCGATCAAGTACTTACCATGGGAAACTTCCGCAAAGGTAACATCAACTGTCTCTTCGCCACATCTGTCGCGGAGGAGGGTCTCGATGTACCTGATTGCAATCTCGTCGTGAGATTTGATCTATACACCACCTTGATCCAATACATCCAGTCTCGAGGACGTGCGCGCCATCAAAACTCCAGATACATTCATATGTATGAGGCCGGTAACACAGAGCACGCGACAATCATGTTGGAGGTGCGAAAGAATGAGAATATTTTGAGGAAGTTTTGTGAGGCCTTGCCCGAGAATCGCAAGCTGACCGGCAATGACTACGACATGGATCATTTCCTGGCTAAGGAGAAGAGCCATCGGATCTACAAAACCTCCACTGGTGCGAAACTGACATACAAGATGAGTTTGACGGTTCTGGCGAACTTTGTCGATTCGTTGCCCCACGCGCAAGATACCAACCTTCAACCCGAATACATCATCACTGTTCACAACAGGCACTTCATTTGCGAGACTATCCTCCCAGAGGGCTCTCCTTTCAGAGGTTCCGTCGGTCGTCCCTGCTCAACCAAGCAAGTCGCAAAGTGCTCTGCTGCCTTCGAGACTTGTCTTGGGTTGGTCAAGTGCAAGCTTCTGGACGAACATCTGCTTCCCACTTTTACGAAGCAACTGCCAGCAATGCGTAATGCGTTGCTTGCCGTTGATTCGAAGAAGCGAGAGGCATATGAAATGAAGACTAAGCCTACGTTATGGTCCGTCGGTGGTGTCCCCGAGGAATTCTTTGCTACTTATTTAGTGCTGGATAACCCAAAGGTTCTTGATCGTCCTTCTCAACCTCTAGTGTTGCTCACGAGATCCCGATTGCCACAACTTCCTTCATTTTACTTGCACTTTGGATCAAATCGTCATTCTCCCGTAGAGATGGTTTCAATCGCGCAGTCTATCAAGGCTACCCCTGAGGTGATCGCCCAGATCAACACGTTCACAATCTACCTATTCAATGACGTCTTTAGTAAGTTGTACGAATCGGACGTCGCGAAAATGCCCTACTTCCTGGCTCCTGGAATCTCCTTAAGTGAAGTCACCGCCAACACGGATCTCTCTTCTCTTATCGCGTGGGATGTACTAAAGGCTGTCGAAGATCATGTCATCAAGTGGGCCGACAATCCCTGGGATAACAAATCCTGGCAGACGGAGCCGGATGAGTTCTTCAAGGATAAGTTCATCGTTGATCCATACGATGGTTCGAGAAAGCTGTGGACTATCGGCGTCACTCGAGACCACAGCCCTTTAGGCCCCGTTCCCCCGAACAGCGCTCCACGCCACGGTACGAGAAAAAACAACAACAACATTATGGAGTACAGTTGTAGTCTTTGGTCCAAGGCTCGAGCTCGACGAACCTTTGATCCAAATCAGCGTGTAGTCGAGGCCGAGTTCATCTCCCTCCGCCGAAACCTGCTCGATGAGTTTGATACTCCAGAGGAGGAGATCCCTAAGAAGTGCTTCGTAATCTTGGAACCTCTTAAGATATCTCCAATTCCTACCTCTGTTGTAGCCATGGCGTACGTCTTTCCCGCTATCATCCACCGCCTCGAGTCATACTTGATTGCCTTAGAGGCTTGCCAATTGCTCAATCTGAAGATCCGCCCTGACTTGGCACTCGAGGCTTGCACTAAAGACTCGGATAACTCCGAAGACCACGGCACCGAGCAAGTCAATTTCCAACGCGGTATGGGAAACAACTACGAGCGTCTCGAGTTTCTTGGCGACTGTTTCTTGAAGATGGCAACCTCTATCTCGCTGTTCGGCATCCATCCGGAAAACGATGAATATAGCTACCACGTCGACCGAATGATGTTGATCTGCAACAAAAATTTAAAGAACAATGCCGTGAAGCTGAAGCTTTATCAGTACATCCGCTCTCAGGCCTTCAGTCGTCGCGCCTGGTATCCTGAGGGACTTGTTTTGAAACAGGGAAAGACTGCTGCAGCTCCTACAACGCACAAACTTGGCGATAAGAGTATTGCCGATGTTTGCGAGGCTTTGATCGGGGCCGCTCTTCTGACCTATCATGAGAGTAAGGATATGGATGCGGCTGTTCGGGCTGTAACAGAACTGGTCTCCAGCGAGAACCATCAAGTTACTTGCTTTGCTGATTACTACAAGCTTTACAAGAAGCCGAAGTATCAACTAGCGCAGGCCACAGAGATGCAACGCAACTTGGCCGCGCAACTGGAGCAAGAGCACCCGTACCACTTCAAGTATCCTCGCCTAGCTAGATCAGCTTTCACTCACCCATCTTATCCATACTCGTATGAGCATGTTCCCAGTTACCAACGTCTAGAATTCTTGGGCGACTCTCTGCTCGACATGGCATGCATCAACTTCTTGTACCACGCATTCCCCGACAAAGACCCTCAATGGTTGACAGAGCACAAGATGGCAATGGTTTCCAACCAGTTTCTCGGCGCCTTGTGCGTGTCTCTCGGCTTCCACCGCCATCTCCTCCTCTTTAACGCCGGCTTCCAAAAGCAGATCTCCGACTACGTCACAGACATCACGGAAGCCCGAACGCAAGCCGAGGCCGATGCCGTTCGAGCTGGAAAATCTCCACAAGACTGCAATCCCGACTATTGGACCTCTGTTCGCCAACCACCCAAGTGCCTGCCCGACGTCGTAGAAGCCTACATCGGCGCTATCTTCGTCGACTCGGAGTACAACTACGCCGTGATTGAAGACTTCTTCGACCGCCACATCAAATGGTATTTCCTCGACATGTCCGTCTACGACACCTTCGCCAACAAGCACCCGACTACCTTCCTCACCAAGTTCCTACAGATCAACATGGGCTGTGCTGATTGGAGCATCATGACTCGTGAAATCAAGCATGTAGACGGCAGCAAACCGACGGTGGTGGCTATGGTGATTGTCCACGGCAAGGTAGTGGCCGACGCGAAGGCTGAGAGCTCTAGATACTCGAAGGTCAATGCTGCAAAGAAGGCTATGAACCTTCTGAGTGGGCTGCCTTTGTCAGACTTTAGGAGCGAATATACGTGCGATTGCAAGCCGGAGGATGTGGAAATTGATGGGACGCAAGGGGGTGAGCATTTCCATGGCACTGCCGTTTGAAACTGGGAAGATGTTGCGTCTGGTGGGTGGGTGGTTGCAGGTGAGGAGAAAGCAAGCCGCGGTGTGGTTCGTGATTCGGCGCGGTATTTACGAATCATGAAATTACGGCGCGCATTTGGCATTCGGCTGGAGGATCTCTGCATCTGGAGCTCGGGCGTGGAGCGAGGGATAGATAGATAGATCGCGATGCTGTTGCGAATTTCGCAAATTTCTACATGGACTCAAACCAATTCGTCTTCATATTCACGTCTCCATCTTTCTTCCTTCTTTCCCCGAGAGATTTGGTTTCTCTCTCTCTCTCTCTCGTTCCGCAAGCGCGGGACCTGCCTATGCAATTCAATCAACTGAAAGCATGAAAATATCTGAGATGGAGCTCTGGATTGTTGTTTATGTAGCAGCACCCATGCATTCCAAGTTCAAGTCGAATCTAGCACTTACACGTTACTTTATTCGCCCTTGAATGTAACCATAGACCATAGACCACTGTCCATGCGAGAGTTAAAAGGCTGGAGGCCGATATCGTTGTCCAATAGGAGAACCGGGAAAAAGAGAAGAAGTACCTAATGAGTGACAAGTTGAGTTTGGCAGTCACTGCTTGATGGCCGCAGAGACAGAGGACGAGACGACACTGGACAGAAGACAGCGAGACTTCCTCCCTTTCTTTTACATGCGTGCCACTCACTCATCATCTGATCTAGATCTTATGGGAAGTGAAGATCGAGAGCTATGCCTGTACGGCGATGTGGATGTGGATGTCAGAAGCCCCCGTCCTCTCATTGCCTCTCTGTGTGTCATAGTCTGAGTACAAAGACAAGCATACAATGGGTCCTTCCGTCCTTCTGATTCTTCATTCAACAAGAGCTACGCGCTAGATTCACTATAGCCCAACAATCTAAAGATCCTCATATCGACCCTGTCACTGCTTGAGGAAGAGATACTGACAATCATCAGGGAAGAGATAACGGTTCTGCGTCGCCATGTGTTCGATCTGGCACTCGAGACTTGGGTCGGGAAAGCTCTTTAGTAGCAACGTAACCGGTTCAAGGAAGTTTGGGCCGCACCTCGCGTGGTCGGAGGGGTCGGCCGGCGTCGGAAAGGGGTATGCAGGCCGCATGGCCCCAATGATGACGGCTAGCTGAAGCACCGACAAATCGACATCCATGATCGATTTCAGGGGCCACAGTTTCCGACGTTCGAGTTCCTTCATCATGTTGCGGTAGATGTGCGAATCGCAGTGGGGCTTTCCGTGCAGGCAATAACTTCCTGGCACACTCTGAGAGCGTCTGGCGAGTTCGCTGTATACTATATCCAGGAGGTATTTCAGTGATCTGTCGCGCACTGAGCACATGCTCTCTGTATAATTTTGGTCAATACAATACAAAACGCAAGATCCTCTGAAGGCAGCAATTTTCCTTACCCAAGAGATTTGCCGGAAGCAGCTTTTCCTCCAGAAGGTCTACATGGCCATTGTTTGCCAACAGAAATATCTTTTTTCGACCACTCACGGGATCCCGCTGGGCGACATCCGCCGGATGTCCCAATTTTTGGGTCAAAATCTGCGCGATTTGTCTGAAGACTGCTTTTTGGCCGAGGGTCCACGCAATATAGAGCCTGTGTTGCAGTGAGGGTAGCGAATGGTGAGGCGCTTCTGACAAAGTGGATTCGTATGCTTTGAGCCATTTAGGAATCCAGGGTTTCACCAGATGGAAGCATTCGTATTTTTCGGCCAGCAGGAGGACGTTGTAAAGCGCCGTCTCGCTCAACTTCAAAGGGACCAAGTCGAATACCAAGTGTGCAATGCAAAGATAGATGAGTAATGCTTCGCCGTCATCCTCTTGGAAGTCTATCGACTCGAGCGGGGGATCTCCTGGCTTGGTGCGTAGGAGCCTGTCCCAGACCTGGATTCAAGATGAGCATGCCAGCATCGACTCAGATGAGGTCCTCCACCGGGGCGGGATAGTTGGAATACATACAGGGCTTGCCACCGCCAGATTCTGACGGACTACCTTTCCCTCATGGGTCATGCCACCCATCCTGATCTTAATTTGTACGTCCCCATAAAGAAAGTCGACTCGCTGTTGCTGTTGCGGTTGCGGTCGCGGTTTCGGTTGCGGTTGCAGAGTTGCCTTTGATGCTGAGCCGGGTAAAGGTTGATTGGTAGTAGCAATGTGGAGAGTGTTGCTTCGCGAACTGCGGGTTCGCGAACCGTCTCTTCGAGGACTGTCACCATGAGGACTGTGAAAGTGAGGTGTGTTACGGTGAAGGATACCACTACAAGCTGTGTTGCTGTGGGGTGGGTCGTACTTGTGAGGTGTGACCATGCTCAAAATTTCCATATAGGATAGCGGATGGGGATCGGTCGTGCAAGAGTGACTGCGGTGGGTGTTTTGTCGAGAAGTAAATCAATGCTTACACGGTGTATGTAAGTGTATGTATACACGGGGGATCAGGATCGATTTTCACGGCGTTGGGATTGCTGGGTACGAGAAGAGTGTAAGAACGAAGTTGGTGTTGCCAGAGAAAACTCGAGGGAGCTCGGGGGACAGCTCAGGGAAAGTCGACTCCACGCTAGTCCGAGTCGTGCCTTCCATCTTCAGTCAGCATCTTGCTCTTCCCGGGGGGGATACGGGTATTGCATCTAAATATGCGGCGAGAACCTCTTAAGCCCAAGCTGCATTTGAAGTCCTATCATTATATTGCTCGAGTCTGGTGCAAGTGCAACTTCAAGAACGATTCACTAGTAAAGGAACATCGAAGTCTAGCTTTGAACTGCCGTATTTATGTGGCTCAAGAATTCTTGAGGCTCTTTGACACCGTACCGTTTGTACCTGCGTACCATTTCATGAAGCGTATAGTGTAATGCACTAGAATAAGGGTCCAGGAGTGGTGCGTTTGCCCAAAACAACACGCTTTCCAAACCGAACGCGTAGAAGATAGATGTCACGTCCATTCCGTCTCCTTGTCCATAAGAGGCTGCTTCCAGCTCGTCAGCTACGATCTGACCAGTTTGAATCTCTCAAGAGTGTCAACAGAAGTGGAAATGGATATCAGCAGGCTTCTTCGTTGGCCACAATACCTCCCTCGCTTCGTTGTTGACCCATTCGATTCGCTAAAAGTGTCTGGGCATCGCAGGACTTGCTCATTGCCACCAGATACGCAAATTGGTTGAAGTCATTACAGTAGGTAGTAGCGGCACATAGCTTATGAAGCATGCCCCAGGTGTTCTCAACCAATCGAGTTTGTGATATCATACAAGTCGCCAAGCTGGATTTTCTACCGAAAGGCCTCTTCAGCATCAGAACTCCCACTTACCCCTAACCTCGGAAAATAGACATAGAGGAATCAGCGCAGTCAACCTCGGCACACGACAACGATCAGCTCACGAAGTCCAAGCCCCTACACCTCTTTACCCGGATGCGAGCGAGCCTTTCCACTCTGCGTCAACGGGACAAACATCTCTCATCGATGGATATCAGATTAGCTTCTATATTAGTAGGACCCCTTTGTGGCCAGCGCCATGATCTATATGGGGCTATGGAGTCCCGCCGCCCTAGATCACGTTGGCGTGTTTGGATCGTGGTGGTCGGTGGGTCATGGGGTATCTCCATACTCGAATCGCCCATCCCGCTACAACCGCAGGAGAGGCATAGACAAGAAGGGGAGAAGACGAATGATGACGATTTCAATACCTCGGTATAGGCTCGGATCTATCGAGGTACAAACGAATGCCCACTTGCTGATGTGGGTATCTAGTCTCCGAGGGAGTTTGGTGTATCGGCTCCTAGACCGGGGGACCGCCCGGCTTGCGGCTGGACATGTTCATATTTGCTAGATTTCAGGAGAGATAGTTGTCGCTGATTTGATACATTATTACTCTAGGTTCGGGTAGTGGTACGAATGGCTTTAGTAAGGTAATTGGAGCAAGTCTGCATGTGGTTTCGCATCTCCCACCTTACTGTACCTTTCATGGAGGCTGCGTCGTGCTTCTCATGGAGATGCAGTTGTACCGTGAGTGTTTCTCCCTCACATGCAACACATATATACGTTTATATGTTATCCGAAGAGGACATTCCCACGAATGAGTATTTTTGAATTGATTGTATTGCACAAGTAGCAAAAAGGAGCCAGATTTGCTGCAGCAACTGAATGATCAGACTCGAGCTCCCGCCTAATATTTCTCACCACACAACGGTCGAACGGCCGGAAAAATATCTGCAGTCCCAACCGTAGAACTCTCAAAATCATGAGTGCTCGCTGACACCCCGCTGAAGCAAAGCCTCCGTACACCTCTCCCGGCTCCGAAAACTAGCTTGCAGGTGATGACTCTTACAGTTCATCTTCGATACCCTCTACCGATACTCCGGCCGGAGGCATCAATGATCCAGTCTGAGGCTGTTCCGAGGGCTCATTGACTTCCTCAACGAAGCCAGCAGCATCCTTCTCCTGTAGCAGTGTGTTTTGACTCTCGACTACCGGCCCAGGAATATTGGATACTCTAGTCGGGGGCATCAATGATTCGGTCCGAGGCTCTTCCAAGGGCTGATCGTCTTCCTCTGCGAAGCCAGCAGCATCCTTCCCCTGCAACCGTGCGATTTGACTCATGTCAACCGGCTCCGGAAAATTGCGGAGGATGTTCAGCACCTGATGGCTGTAGCCCGAGATACCGCAGGAGGAGTGAGGTCCGAGGATCGAGTATGGTGCCTGATTGTAGGGGTCGATCTTGATCTGAGAGATGTTCCACGCCAGGGCGTCAACACTGGTGAAGATCTCCTCCGGGCGCTGGGGGGGCCACAGGGAGTACCGGACGAGGATCGCAACCATGCCGTCGAGAACGTACTTGTCGCAATGTGGGTCTCGCGCCCTGCACACAACTCTCCTCTCACGATGGGCTTCCGTGAACCGCTGGGTGTCTGCGTAGGGCAAGGCCGTGATTTGGTGGATGAGACTGGCGCGGGCGGTTAGGATGTTCTCTGTTGATGTTTGTCAGCTCAGCTGCGTTTGAATGTACGAGAACATCGAGGAGAGCCAACATACCCATGATATTGCAGTTGGGGTAAGGCCGGGGGAAAGCAACTCGGGATTGGGTGAACGGAACGAAGCTGGGAGACAGGCGCATTCGAGTAACGATCCCCTTGGCCACCTTCCTGAACATGATCTCTCGGCCAAACGCCCAGGCGATGTAGAGCCAGCGGTCGTCGTTCAGGATGGTCGCCCATGATTCCAGGGGCAGCCAAGATCCCAGCCAAGGCTTCACGAGACTGGCGCAGTTGTACTTCTCGCACAGGATGGCAATCTCGAAGAGCTCGGGAGGCTCGTACGTGGGTTTGATGGCGCCGAATCGCAGGTGGGCAATGCGCAGGAGGATGAGCAGAGCCTCACCGTTGTCGTTGGTGAAGGTGAGTTCCTGCACGGGGTGGTTTTGGAGCAACTCTCCCCAGATCTGTTAGGGTTAGCAGTTGTACTCTGAGGCATGGAATGCAGATCGAAAAGGTAAGAAGGTGAACATCGACCTGCTAAGGTTTACTTACTGGACTGGCAAGCATCATGGCTGAAGTGATTACCTTCCCGACCACATCGTAGCCCTTGTACCGTGCGAGAATGGTCAAATCTCCAAGAGGGAACTGGAAGAGGTGATCGAAAGATCGGGGCTGGACAGATATATCCATTATTCTTATCAGGGTTGCAGTGCGTGTGTTCGCGGGAGTCTGAGAGAGCTCGAGAGCTTACAGGTTGGGTGGTTGACCAACTTGAAGATCAGAAAAGCGCGAACCAAAAGGTTGCTTGCAGGGGACTTGATATAGGAAGTCGTCTGACGAAAGCGGTAAAAGTTTCGGCAGCCAGAACTAGCGTAAAGAGAGATCCGAATTCACTAAAATGTTAAGTTGCTCATAGAGTCTTCCCCACAGTCTGAAGAACGCTGCCTGAGGGACTAACGGCCTCGTAAAACCGCTGATGATCATTCCAAATTTCCATTCCCTTTAATCTATTCACCTCGCCATACGAGTCGCCATGCGAGAGCCGATCTAACATACCACAGCTGAAATATTCATTCTCTGGCCTGCAGCCTAGAAATCCCCGTACACGAGTGTGGCTTTCAGAAGTGTTTACATCGTACCCGTAGTTATGGAAAGGAAACCCGTGATCCAACACAGCCTGATCTGCGCACAGCGGAAACTACTGGACCAGAATTGGTTGAGATCTTACAGTTTAATCAATCGATAATGCTCGTTGAGGCTTTTTGTTGCATTGATGGGAGTATATCCCAAGCTTTGTGCTGGTGAAGAAAGGGCAACAAGCGAACAAATCAGATCCTCCCATGGAGAAGTTTGCACACCTCGGCGGCCAATTTTTTTGAAGGCTATATATATTTCAATACGGTTTCGTCGTGTATAAAAATGAGGCCTGCTGGCCCAATGGCAAGGCGCTTGACTACGATTAATGTCCCATTAGTTGCATCAAGAGATTGCAGGTTCGATCCCTGCGTAGGTCACGAATTCTTACTTTTGCAGTTTAAAGTCATCTTTTTTGCTCGGACTTGAAACATTTATTTTTGCTGCTATTGTAATAGTAGCACTTGACGTCACAACATTTGGGGCTTTTGGTAAGCTTCCCGGATACTAAAGTGGGGATTGCGAAAAAGCTCACCGGTCCTGGTCTGCCGGGATTCGTAACCTATGCGAAATGGGACCAAAAAAAAACTCCCTCTCATGTCAGGAGGGCTGAATAAGTTTTGCAGAAGCAATCCGGCCTATTCAAATCGTGATACCTCTATGAAGAAGCGACAGCCAGTCCTATCCGACAGATGCAACAGTCGGCTGAAAACAGCAGAAGAAGCCGCGGCCTCGCTCTTTCATAGCCGTATCAATCCAGTGCCTGAAGCGTTCCTCAACCTCGTAGATTCGCTAACGACTAATGTCGACCTGCACTTGGGATTCCGATGATTGCGTTTCTGGATTTCTCTTTTGCTTGCGGTAAAGAGAGACTTGGGAATCCTGGGGCCGAGAGGGCTCGCGGTCAGAGACTGCATAGCACCTCGGAGCGATCTATCGGGAGTCCTGGGTAGCATCGTAAGTTAACAACAGACATTTCAAAACTCTTCAATCTATTGCCTGAATCTCTGTGGAGCATGTGACCAAGGGCATGCATGATGTTTGTCAGGCGAGGGAGAGATGGAAGATAATAGAATGTAAATACCGGTAAGGGGGGGTTAATCAACGTTTTACACCAACATTTGCATTATTTCTTTTCTTCTATCTACTCCAAAAATTTTATTATCTCCTTTCCTATACCTTCCTACCACCTTCGCTATACGGAACGCGACTACCTATAGGTATATCATCGCAGCTCGCTACTGTAGGTAGGTACTTACCACCCACCTCTTCTAGTCTAATCTTCTCATTCCCCGCGGTTCCAAATCCGATGTGATTCTGTGTAACCTAATTAGTTCACCACGATCCAGCATCATCAATCCCTTCATTCAAACACAAACGAAGAAGAGAAAAGAAGAGAAAAGAAGAGGAAAGATTATAAAGCTATAAGTAGAAAGATAGATAAGTAGATAGCTTTATACACACACCACACATCAATCATCCTGCGTATCGACCTTCGATACCCCACCACCCCACCCCACCCCACCAACTCCACCTCACGTTTCCTTTTCCAATGATAATCCCACCGCCCGACTCCCCCACCATCAATCTGTCCTCAGAGACATCCCAGGACCGCTGGCGCAACGGCGTAAGCACCCCTTCTCCACATTCAAACACCTTCACAATCGCATTCTAACATCTTCGTGATTAGAGCGCGTCCGCCTCCAGTAATGGATTAGAGCGGAAGGTTATCCGTTCAAATCGGGTGTGGTTCAATTCCTATAAGCAGTATCACTATGCTCAGCTGCGTTTTTTTTTCCGCTTTTTCTTCTTTGTATATACATATATGTATAAGTATGTGTTTAACCTTCAATTTTAATCTCTTATTGTAAGTTTTATTGTTACGATTTTTTTTTAAACTAATCTTTGAAAAAAAAAAAAAAAAAAAAAAAAAAAGGAATATAATCGTCGGTTGCCTTGAATTTGATTTGTAAAAGAATCCGCCAGGTCGGCACCACCAAGGCGGGACAGTAATGGTATACTACTTATTAAACAACAACTATTAAAATAAATAAGAAAATAAAAACAATCTTTACCTGCTTAGAAAACTCTGCTCTAAAAACTTAAATGAAAATATAAAAGACGCATTCGTGTATAGTAATCTAATACATTCCAATATAAATAAAAAAATAAGTAAAAAACCGTCTCAAACAATCCAAATCTACTTTTGTTTAACTGCGAATATCTTAGCAATCAACTTCCATAGATCGAAAGAAAAAAAAAGAAAAAAAGAAGATTTCATCTATTCCATAACCAAAAGTATCAAATCAATGACCAAAGAGAAATTTCTAATGATGCACGTATTTCCTTAATAGGTTCAAACAAACAAAAGTCCGATTTCAATATCCCTCGCTCATTCTAGTACCTATATACTTACTTCTACCGTATGCACGCGGCAATTCTGACATACCTACCGGTATACGCATTACAAAAATCGAAAAGTACCGACCGGTACATATCAAGAAGTACTACTGTATTACTACTACTTTATTTCAACTCAACTTAATGAAAGGAATAACATAACAACTTGTGATGGAGATTTAAAATTTAATAAATGGATTCAATATCAAACCTAATACGGTGCATCCTTTTCTTATTTTTTTTTTTAAAAAAAAAAAAAAAATTACAATGTAAATTATCAATAGAATTTTTATTTATTTATTTATTTTCTTATCATAGAGGAGCAAGTTTTACGGTCCCGCCTTAGGTAGTGGGTGTGCCCGACTTGCTATAGCGAAAGTCGGTCAATTCTTTTGAATTAAATTTGAGGAAATGGACGATTAGGTGAATGAATAAGTGAATGAGTGAATGAGTGAATAAGTAAGTAAGTGAATAAGTAAATAAGTGAATAAGTGAATGAGTGAATGAGTGAATAAGTAAATAAG